GTATACATTTGTCTATATCTATCTCGATTCGTTTTGGCTGTTACAAACAACCGTTATGTGAACAAAATTAATATACCCTTGTGCACAAGTGCGCTCGGGTATAAAAAGAGGAATATGGGGATACCGATAAAAGTAAAGATGTAGATAGGGAAGAAAGATTAAAATAAAGGTAATTAATTATAGAGAAAAGGATATAGATAGAGGCACAGTGACTCAATCTAGGAACTGTTTCGGGATTCTCGGGTCTTATCGATCGATAATAGATATTTTGATCGGTCGTTTGTCTATATTTTTGTCGAAATTTTTATCGATATTGTTATCAATTTTGCTATTGATATTTTCGGAACTTATCGATATAATAATCGATATTTTTATATTTTGTTACCGATATCTTTTATCGATTTTATTATCAATATTTATCGATTGTGTTATCGATTTCTTTATCGATATTTACCGTTTTTGTTATCGATATTTATACATTTTGTTATCGACTCTTTTGCTATCGATGTTTTCTCAACTTATCGATATAATAATCGATATTTTTATCGATTCGTTATCGATTTTGTAATTAATATTTTTAGCTATTTTGTTACCGATATTTTTTATCGATTTTGTTATCGATTATGTTATCGATATTTATCGATTTTGTTATCGATATTTATCGATTTTGTTATCGATACTTATCGATTTTGTTGTCCATATTTATCGCTTTTGCTATCGATTTTGTTAACGATATTTATCGATTTTGTTGTTGATATTTTTATCGATTTTGTTATCGATCATTATCGATTTTGTTACCGATATTTACCGATTTTGTTATCGATATTTATACATTTTGTTATCGACTTTTTCTGATCGATATTTTGCTATCGATATTTTCGGAACTTATCGATATAATAATCGAAATTTTTATCGATTCGTTATCGATTTTGTAATTAATATTTTTAGCTATTTTGTTACCAATATTTTTTATCGATTTTATTATCGATATTTATCGATTATGTTATCGAAATTTTCATCGATTTTGTTATCGATATTTTTATCGGTTTTGGTATCGATATTTTATTGGATGCTACTATCGATTTTGTTATCGATAGACTATAAAGATAAAAATGAAGATAAAGGAAAACAGAGTAACATAAATGTAATAAACGTGCCTGTCACATAATATCCGTCTATGTGTTTTAAGGTTAAGGCTTAGGTCAGACACGTTAGACCGATTCTGATGCCGGATTCAGATTCAACGTGTCAAAATACTTAGGAAGATTCACATATGTCTCGTTTTCAGATGTAGTTTTTGCGATTTTTTGAAGATACCGTTATATGGGAGGTGGGTGTGGTTATAGAACGATTTCGCCCATTTTGAACACCAACCTACCTTGGCAACCAGTCTACCAAATTTCGTGCTATTGGATAAAATAAAGTTGACAATTTTTTAAAATGCAGTTCTTAGGTATGTACCGGATTACTTTGGACGACGTGAACCGTTTCGATTATCCTTTTTTATCGGAAGGTATCTCAAGGGGCCATTCTAATTTGGTAAAGTTTCGATCAATTGATCATGTAGAAATTAACGGTACTCCTAAATTTTGATATACGACTTGAAATCAGTTGTATTTTTTGCTTAGAAAATAACTTGCTTGTTATACTCTTTTCTTTCCAAAATCATTATTGTGGTATTCAAATTTGTTCATTACCTAGGACTGATATTTTCAAAATTAATTTTTTTAAGTTTACGATCGATTTTTTTATAATTTATAACCACAAAATTTTTATATTTTTGAGATAAAAAAATTTAGCTTGAAGTTTTTTGTTGATATAGCAATGCTATATCATAATTTGCGTACATAAATTGAATCATTTGTTGATTTAGATTCAATCGTGCTTATCTTTTTTGATTGATGTTCCAAATTCCTTACTTTTTTGACAAAAAAAAAAGAATTTAAATTGTTTTTCATGTTATACCGTTATTTTCGTAAAAAAATTTATGGAAATTTGTTAATTTAAAATTTTTTCGAACAAAAAATTTTTATTCTTGCATTAAAAGTTTTCGATGAGTAGTTGAGTAATAAAAAACTTTATCCCAAATATATCCTCAAAATCTGGGCTTAGGATAAACAGATTTATATATCGACACCTTGGTGGAATCGGCAGCCAGTTCGAAAACTTTTCAAGAACTTCCTACTTAAGAACTCGATTAAAGAGTGCCCTATCTCAGCTGAAAATTTATTGAAAATGTGCTAAGATAGGGTTTTTTCGAATCGGCAGCTGAGATAGGGCGTTTTTGAACCGAATTCCGAGATAGGGCATTCTTCGACCACTCAGGTGTCCGTATTTTGCTGAAAATAGGATAGATGCTCATAACGGTATGTAACTTAGGTCCTTTTTCTCATGGAACTTTTAATTTTGAAGCTCACTTTATATTAAAAGGTTGCATTAAAATTTATAGTTGCGTCTAAAGTAAAGCATTTGATTGACGATTTTATATTGGTTTAGAACCAAGAAACAACTGCTTAAATTAAAGGTTAAATGAGAAAACGGCCTTTAGAGTATAATCAGAAAAAGTGGCGGGCCTATTTCCGCAAACCTAAAAAAAAAATTACACACATTTTTATTACAAGCTTTTATTTAACTTCACTTGTATGTATGTATGTATGTATGTATCTTTGTATGTCCTAGAACGTTGCAGTCAATATTTAACAAACTTCCCGATGAGCTACAGACTTGAAACTTCAAACATAGCTCAGTACTCGAGGACAATGCAATATAAAATATGACTTAATCCGCTAGGTGGCGCAGGAGTCGAGATATTTGTAAAACCCGCATTTATAGTCTGATCTGGTTCATATTTAGAACATATATTACTTGCGTGAAAAGAAATAAATCCGCAAAAAATTTTGCTGATAGGTGGCGCAGGACTCGAGATATTTGGAAAACCGTATTTATGATCCGATTAAGTTCACATTTCGAATGCATATTGCTTGCGTCAAAATAAAGTCCACTGTAAAGTTTGTTGCAATTTTTTACAGATATCGCATTGAAAATTACGTCAATATGCTGCAACTAGCTTTACAGTGTACTTTATTTTGACGATGACTACGGGCCAATCACTTTAATTCTATTTTTAGCTAATTTAAAAAGTTAAATTAAATCAAGTTAGGGAACTTCCTATTCTTCTTAAACGGAATCGCTATATCTATAAATTATTTTATACTTTCTAGTTCTTTTTGTAATAAAAGCGTGTTTTTAGTTTTTTAACTATAATTTTATTTTGATTCTAATTCATTTTAAAGTTATTTTCATATTACACTGATATTTGTTGTTATAAGAAACTACATTTAATAGCGAATAAAATGCGATATATCGCTATTTTTTACAATACGATGAATGAAACAATTAAGTTTGCCAATCTCCCTCCTAAATCTCGTTACTCCAAGATATTATCAAGAAAGAGTCGTAGATTACTGTTATTCAGATTGTGACAACCTAAATTTCTTAGTAAAGTTGAGCTGTCATATCTATGTAGCTCCTAAAAATTCTATGATCTTACCTAAGCTCATCTTCATATAGAAAGATATTGAGTTGAAAACCTTTTAAGATAAGCACCTGCAAACTATACTAATTTCAAAAATTAACAACGCTTGATCTCGTTAGCTTTTTGAAACAGTGCATAACATCAACCCTCACTCAGTTGTAAATTTCAACAATATTTTATAAATCGCCCATAAATCTCACAACGCCACTTAAACAATCGTATCTGATAATAAATCCGCACAGAGTGTACGAAAATTCGCATGTGTGTGTCGTGTCGTGTACGAAACATATAAAAGTTAAGGTGACACCTGTGTCGAAATCAGTTGTGAATGGTTGCTGACTAGCCAAATTGAAGGATTGAATCAACCACACTTTAGATAGAAAACGTTTAAAATGAAATACTTGCTGGTAGTGGCTTTCGCCGCCTGCGCCTTTGCTGGCGCCCTACAACGCCCCGAATCCAAGCTATCGCCAATCGATGCCGATAGCGAAATCGAAGTGATCTACGAAAATGAAGATGGTGTCCAAGAGAGTAAGTCGGCTGGCTAGCTAAAAACTGTAGTTAAGTATGTGAAGATTTCTTAAAATAAACGCTTTCCTTTCTGCTACCGACAGTTGCGCCCACCTTCATTATCTCATGGCAGGTTCGTCGCGCTATTCGTAGGCTACAGAAACAGATGCCTTGCGGTTTCCCACAATACGGCATACCACCGCTAGTGCCCTTGAAGAAAAGCGAAGTTTCCGTACATTACGAGCATGGCATTTTGGAGTGAGTACTTTAGTAATTGGAAATAATGCGCTTTACTATAACTTAATTAATTTTCATTTTCATTACCCAGCACCGCTGAGGAGCTCACACGCTTCCGCGTTGACGGTTTAGACGACTTCAAAATCAACAAATTCAAGTTGAATATTGTACTGTCGAAGATAACTTTTGATTTCACCTTCCGTAACATACGTGCCTCTGCACCACAGTACGCCACCAACACCATTTTGGATGCTCTTAACCAACTCGGCGTCTCGGTGCAATATGAAGGTGATGGTTCCTTGGACTTTAGCTTGAAAAACTTGCGTGTTTCTGGTACTTTAAAATATAAAATACCACTCTTGTGGGGATCCATAAGAATCACATCGTTGAAGACCAAAATTGCGCTGGAGGGCTGCGACTCCAACATCACTGGTATCTTGGGCGAAAGCAAATTGAATGAGCTGCTCAATCGTCGTCTGGAAAATGCTGTCATATCGGGCATCAACAACAATCAAAATCAGATTTCAGAAAGTATTGAGAACACCGTGGTGCCACGCGTAAACGCTTTACTTAAGGGTAATGACTTCTGGGATATTTTGGATAAAATTTTGAATAGTGATGGCGCAGAGAGTGAAGATGAGCCAATTAAAACGAGTTGTGTAGCGCCCGAGGATCCCTGGGCTTAATGGAGAGTGGTAACTCCGCTAAGGAGTTTAAAGAATTTTAATCTGTATGCTAAAGAAATCTTAATAAAGGATGGTGCGTTGACGATGGTTTGAAACCTATGTGAATTTTTATTACTTTCTTGTTTTATTGTTCTGGTAAACGATGAGAGTAATTCTCATGAGAAGGGATATGTACTCTCATTAGTAATTAGACGGTGATTATGAGAGTGAATTCCTATTCTCATCGTCTACCAGAACCATTAGTATTCTTTTTGTAAGACAATTTGGTCTTTATCTTCCCAATGAAAATTGCGGTTCGAGAATGACTAGTGATTAAACTGAGAACTCAGATATTGACAAAGTTTTTTCCGCACCTCAATTTTATCTTAGAAACATTGACGAGTAAAGAAAAGTGTTTTCAATGGAAAACGAATTGCATTCTCAATTTGCGAGAAAGCTTTTTCTGCAATGAGGTCATTTTGAGAATAAACTGGGTTTAAATTGAGAACTATAATATTGTTGAGTAAAGAAGTGTTGCATATTGTCTACGGCTGTGTATTTTTTCTCTCACAATTTGAAAGTTAAAAAAAGAAAATATACTTCCCTTCCACTTTTTTAGCAGTATAGCCTCAAAAGTTTTATGTTCCGTGCTTATGTGCTTTTCCATTTCATAATTTATGTTTATGACTGCATGTGTAGCGCTATTGTACCGATATCGGCCGCAAAATACCCATAATCCAAATTTTATCGCCTTGCGATTAACAAGCAATAGATTAGCTAGCTAACAGGTGTGCGAATTGTAAAAAATGTAAGAACATAAGTACATTAGTACATTAGTTAAGTTCGCAGGTGACTTCCCGAATTGGAATCGAAAGTTAAAATCAGTATGCCAACAGCTGTCGTCAAAAAATGTATAGATTTTGGCTCGTTTTCAGCGCTTTGCTGCTGCTGCAGCGGCAGACCACACAAGGCCAAGTGGAAAGTGATGAAGCCGGCGAGTTCGAAATCGCAATGCGGCTATTACATAGCACACTTTTCCAGCAAGTGGTTAGCGCAAACGAAAATATCGGATTTGAGACGCGCACCATCTTTGAAGATGATCTCCGCGAATTTATGGAATTTGTGCGATTGCAAATGCCTTGCGGCTATCCACCAGCAGGCATACCACCGCTGGTACCACTGCATGCCGACTATAAAGATGTGAATGTGGTACTTAATAAAACAGAGTGAGTTGAGAAGTTGAAATAACTAACTTAGAATGTATCCCAAAAATTTTAACAACTACTCGTATCTTTCGCAACAGAATACACGGCAACGTAACGGATCTCAATATCAGCGGTCTCGACGAGTTTGACGTACAGGAACTACACTTCAGTAATATTCTGCACAAAGTGCGTTACGATTTTCGTTTCCCTGAAATTTTAATCACTGGCAATTATATGACTAACATAACCACTAGGATGTATGGTCCCAAATTTCACATCTATGGCGATGGCATATTGCATTTGACTTTGAAGAATTTACGCATTTATGGCAGTTTTATAGTACGTCCAAAAAACTCGGGTAGCTTGAAATTGCGAAAATTCAAGGCAACAGTCGAACTGGGCGATGTGGAGTCTAAGCTGACTGGTATTTTGGGTAGCGCACTGAAGACGAAACTTTTTAACGATTGGATTGAAGAGTTTATTGATATGACGCTGAATGACAATCAAGAGGAAGTTAGCGAACTATTGGAAAACTGGGCGGAACCACGTCTAAATAGAGCGCTGGATGAAGTGTCAGTTATTGGTGTAGTTGCATTGATATTAGGCATTATTGATGGTTCAATAATGCCACAGGAGCCCTTGTGTTAAAGAAATTCTAAACGAACAAAAAATTCAAAGCAAAAAGTGTGGACCATCATGTTTTTATAAGAGAATGTGACTATACGTTGTATAAATATAGACTTTGATCCGAAAATTCTATTAAAAATATATGTATATCGTGGTGTTTTATTTTAGTCTTAGAAAATCTACAGCTTCACTATAAATAAATTCGTTCAAATTTTTTCACTTGTGAAGTACTTATTTACAGGACAATTCCGGCTAAGATAGTAGTAAAAAGTCTTTCGTAAGACAGATGGAAAGATTATTCGAAAGACTTTTGTTACTCCAGCACAAAAGTCTTAGAAAGAAAGCTCTCTCAATCACCGCTCGTACTGAAAATTTATTTTGAGAGAAAGCACTTGTATATCATTTAGGTTAAGGCATGCCGATCCAGAGATACGCTATAACTACTCAACCGCTCTTAATGAAATTTCGCAGACTGCTGTCATTTATCCCAGCTTAAAAGATAGCATGGCTTTTATCTCGATTATACAAAGGAGCGTGGCACAAACGGAATTTTTCATGCTGCATATCTCCGGAAGTATTTGTGGTAGTATACCGGAACTTGGTATGGACATATATGAAATCAATACTTTACTCATGGAAAAAATGTGGGTTCTTGGAAAAGGGCCCGTGACACCCGCCATACTGACTGAATTTTCTATACTACCACTTGTTAAAAAATTAACTTCAATCNACTCCAGCACAAAAGTCTTAGAAAGAAAGCTCTCTCAATCACCGCTCGTAGTGAAATATTTTGAGAGAAAGCACTTGTATATCATTTAGGTTAAGGCATGCCGATCCAGAGATACGCTTTAACTACTCAACCGATCTTAATGAAATTTCGCAGACTGCTGTCATTTAGCCCAGCTTAAAAGATAGCATGGCTATTATCTCGATTATACAAAGGGGCGTGGCACAAACGGAATTTTTCATGCTGCATATCTCTGGAAGTATTTGTGGTAGAATACCGGAACTTGGTATGGACATATATGAAATCAATACTTTACTCATGGAAAAAATGTGGGTTCTTGGAAAAGGGCCCGTGACACCCGCCATACTGACTGAATTTTCTATACTACCACTTGTTAAAAAATTAACTTCAATCCAAAGTATTTTATAAGTTAAATGAATTATTACAAAATTGATGTCGTTCGAGTCGTTATATCTCAGAAATGGTGACTCTTAGGAACAAAAGTGGCATAACGGTTTTTAGAGATAATTGCATGATCTACACTTTTGTCTAACCTATTTTTATGATAAACCTTACGGTTTAGCTGAAAAATGGTAAAAATCAATTTATGTGACCTTTGACCTTGAATAATTTTTTCTTTACAGATATGGGATCGATATGGTCCTTTCACATTTCATTTATAATGACGTTCGTAACATTCGAACCAGCTTTATGAAAGTTACTGCAACCTTGAAAATCTAACTTGACCGGGATAGTAGGAAATAGTATTAAAGTACTTCAATTAGGTTTAAAAGTGATAATTTATGGAAAAAAATTGTGCTGCNTTTATGTGACCTTTGACCTTGAATAATTTTTTCTTTACAGATATGGGATCGATATGGTCCTTTCACATTTCATTTATAATGACGTTCGTAACATTCGAACCAGCTTTATGAAAGTTACTGCAACCTTGAAAATCTAACTTGACCGGGATAGTAGGAAACAGTATTAAAGTACTTCAATTAGGTTTAAAAGTGATAATTTATGGAAAAAAATTGTGCTGCGCTATGTTAAAAAAATATATACATTTTTTTATTGAAAAATCCCCATCTCAAAAGATTTTAACATATGCATATTTATGTGGTTGTTATTATTTTTAAAATAATACATTTTTAATTTCATTTAATTTTTAGGAATTTATTTTATTTTTTTCTTTTTTACGTAATTTTTTTTTTGTTAAATTTTCTTTTAATTTTTTAGCTTTTATTGTGTAAAAAGATTTTTTTTATTCTATTTACTTAAAAATGTATTTATTTTTTATTTAACTTTTTTTAAATTTAATTTGTTACATACATATTTTTTTAAAAGAAGAAAAAAAATTACATATATAAATTTATAACCTTACAAATGATGTCTCGTCTCGACTTTTGATTTCCGATACATTTATAATATGTTNTAAATTTTCTTTTAATTTTTTAGCTTTTATTGTGTAAAAAGATTTTTTTTTTTATTCTATTTACTTAAAAATGTATTTATTTTTTATTTAACTTTTTTTAAATTTAATTTGTTACATACATATATTTTTATAAAAGAAGAAAAAAAATTTATATAAATTTATAACCTTACAAATGATGTCTCGTCTCTACTTTTGATTTCCGATACATTTATAATATGTTATTTTTTTTCGTTCTAATTACAGGTAAGTGCCGCAAACCGGTATACCATACATACTCACTACATTATGTAAGTGCATACATTCGTAGCTGGTATCAGCGATTATTAGCTGGTAAGTTCTATAGAGTTGCAATATTTTTCTTGAAAATATAATTGATCACCCACAATGTCTCGAAATTTAGTAGGAAATTCACGCGAATTAAGCATGTGTTCAAACGGCATGTATTTCTCAAAACCATATGGCGCATATATCATTAGCAGAATAGCTGAAAACAAAGTTGCACGTAAAGAAGTTTGTCGTGGAAATCTTTGCTAGGATTGCAGCCGCTTTGCACAGATTCGTTTTGGCTCATTTAATTTGCAATTTATGGGCCAATATGGGCAGCACATTCGACGACAATGAACGTACGCATGGAAATGGCTCTATTATGAGGGTTAAAATGCCACAAAACTAAAAATAAAAATATATGTGCATGCAACCTTGCCGCACTATGTAGTGTGAAGAGAATTCCAAACACATACTCAAAAGACAGTTCATAAAAATAGGTTATCGAAATGCCGCATGAAAACGAAGCGGTTGATTTCGTTGGCCGCACTTTAAAGTGATGAAAATATCCTGCAGTTTTATGACTGCTATGAAGCTACTGAACAATCATAAACTATTTTTTATATCGCCATTATTATTGACAAAAAAAGATGCATCGATGAAGGCGATTTAGTGATGCAATGAATAAATGGAAGAAAACTGATAAAAGGAATTGCATACAGCATTCCTTTTGACACTTCTTCGTTTCATTTGAAATTTTATGAGTTAGGAAAAAAATATCAAAATTATGGTGGCGAGAAATTTTGGTTTCCTCATAAAAGCTGTGCAACTAACTATATGACTCACATTGGAAAATTTATGT